ACTGATAAGGATCTAGAACTGTGAATCTAACGCTGGCCATCGATAAAGACAGTTCTCTGCTGTTACTTAATATCAGTATTTATTTTCTCTACTAGAACTGCTTAGCCTGGATGAATTCTAGCTGATAATTTCAGAAGGGTGAAAAGCTAACTAGAACTGGGCATTTGGCCCAGATAAATTTGATTCCAGTACTATGAAGGAAGCAGCAAGGGAACTAGAAGTCTTTGACAAAAATTGTTGATAATTGGCTAAGGACTAGGGAGGCAAACAAAACTTGAAGAGCTATGAATGTTATTCTAAGTAAAAGACACAGGGGAGAAGTCTAGGTGCTGCAATGTTAGCAACTTTTTCTTTAGTGCTAAGAAAAAAATTTTAAATATATTTGACTATGGCCAAACATCTGCTATCCAGAATTTTTAGGATATACGTCTTTCTGAAGACCTGAATTACAGAAGCAAAAGGGAAACCTTGGGTTTGAGTTTATGCTTTGCATAATTTTAAGCAAGTCACCACACAGAATTGGCGTTTCAGTAACATTCACCTCCGTCATCTGTTAATGGTGGATGATGTGATCACAACTCCACAGGGCTGTTACCAGGATTAAATCACAGACTTTGTAAATCTCACTGCTTAATCAAATAATAGGTTTTTTCATATTTCTAAGCATGTATCTATACTAATTAGTTTTCAAATTTTAAAAATCTGTATTTGATGCTATGTAAGTATTATACACGTTCTTTTTTTTAATAAGATTTCAGACAACATAATTTAATGATCACTCAGGTTATAATTATCAATAGCCATTATTAGATTAATCAGGAGTAAAACAATGAATGCCCTTAGATCTTATTAAGATAGTTCCTAGCTCTTCCAAATAACCATAAAAAAATTACCATTGCAACCATGGCTCTAGATCTCAAGGCAATGGCAGAATCAAAATGATTTCAGTCCCTCCTGTTTCAGTATGTTCCTTCCACAGTGTACAGTGGATTATGGAAAAGTAGTTCTGAATTATTTCTTAAGCCTAAAGCAGCACAAATTAGAAAAGCCTAAATGGTACTCAACAGCGTTCAAAGTGCAGATAATTTTTGCTCACATAAACACACCGAAGTGACTGTGTTGTGGTAAGTTATCAAATTATGGAAAGAACATTGCAGAGATTAAAATGTTGCATAAGACAGAGAAAGCAGCATGAGTCAGGGGTTTGGGAAATATGAGTCAGACTGAAGGGAAGGAGCCAAACAGAGAGAATAAAGGCTTAAGCAGGGACTTAATGGATACCACCATCGTGTGGACGTCGTCACCTCTGTTAGCTTTGAGAGAAAATCAAATACATGGGTCCATCAACTGAGGATCAGTGTGATGAAGAGGCTAGAAGTGAGAACTGAACAAAGATTATGCTAGATTATTTAAAGCAACTAAGGGTGCCAAAGTCAGCAAGAAAGGAGCCTATAATAGTATAAATCACTAGGAGGGAGACAATGGGCACATTTTTAAAAAATGAAGGAATCACCAAATATTGCCATTAGCTATTCTTAATATATTAGAATGATGAAATGTGCAGTGGTATTTTAAGAAGCACATTCTATTATTTTGTTCTTCTGTAATGTTAACATCAGGCTATGACTTCATAGTACAGAGCTACTTGCTGTGGTATTCAAATCCAAACTCTCTAAACCCACCCTTAAAGCTTCAAATTTTGCTCATGACTTAAGCAAGCATTTTATGAGCCTTTTCTGCTAGACGGTGCAGCAGGCTCCTCACACACAACCCTCTCGCTGTGCTGACTGCAGCTGTCTGCTGTTGTCATGCAAAGTAGCTGGGTCTGACTGATGTTTTCCAGTGTGACCTGCCTTCTTAGAAACAGCCTTTGTTCCCTGCCAGTCCATGGATCTCACGTTCTTCAAAATGCAACTCAGAGTCCACCTCCTCTGGTGAAGTTTCTGTTGCCCTTCACCTCTCATCAGGCTGCTTCACCCTTCATAGACTCCACCCTTGCATACTCAGTTCCTTTACAACATTCTCACTTACTGACATGTTCATAATTTTGCTGTTTCTCAGATCTTGCCTACTACCCTGCCTTGCAAATCTTAGCTCCATTGAGATAAAACACTGATCCTGTTTTCCTAAACTCTACGTAGCAGTTCTCAGCAAACAATAATGACACATTCATCCATTTATTGAACAAAAGCTTACTGAAAACCCACTATGTGTCATGCACTGTGAGAGGCACCAGAATATAGAAAAAAGTGAGACACAGATTTTACCCTCAAAGAGCTGGGGTGTAGGATTCAGGGCATATGTTAATAGACTGCCTATAAAAACCAAGGAGCTTAACTGTCAATGACAAATTATAGATAATTAAAAAAAAAAAGTTGTTCCCCAGCATATTTGTGTCTCAAGAAAACCATGGCTAACCTGTATAGTTTCCCTGATAAATAAAGCACTGCTCTGGCCTATGCAGACAACTTCACTGACAAATTCAGGAAGCCAGTGTTGCTTGCAAACCATGGAGATACCTGCAGTAGTCAGTGTTTCGGCTTTTCTGTTAGTAATGTTTGTGTTGTCTTGAACTTTCTGATATTTAAGACAAATGGAAATGTTCAAAAGTAGAAAATGCAAACATAAGAGTTTAACAATGTGTAATGAACTCGATATGACTTTATATAGATGTGGAAGCAAGCAATAAAAGGATCTCCAAGTATAATTTTCAAAATAAAATTATGCTACTTAAATAAACTAATAAATAGACATTATAATTGAAGACAGATCAAAGTTCAGTCTATCAGTAGCCTTCAGCATAGACAGCCTGCTAAGAGAGAGAAGAATAGAAGTATTCTAACCTGTAGTAAGCAAAGCCATAGATAATAGTTATTAGCTGCTTCCTGGTCATACAGGTTACTTTTCGGACCATTATGTAAATTCAAGTAAGTAGACAGTGTAATTACCAGTCAATGCCAGCTGATACTCATCCTGTTGTAGCTTTGTGTGGCTTTTGATAGAGAAAAGAAAAGAATATAGTACCAGTGAAGTTAATCATATTTTGGTTTTTTGTTTGTTTTTATTAGTTACCTTAACCAAGTATTTTTATTATGTGATCCTTATCAGAAGCTAAATATACTTGATTTTTTTTTTTTAAATATACCTGATTCTTAAGGATTAGCTCAGGTTTGTATGTTTAAAACCTATTGAATAATACATTGATTCCACTGGACATGTTTGCCTATTTATCAAAGAGATTTAGAAAATGAACAATGAGGAAATAGGAAGGAAACTGTAGGACATCAGGAATGTAATGAGTTGGAGGCAGTTTGCAAAGACAGTCTCAGAAAGAAAACCTTCAATCACTTGTGAGGCCTCTCTTAGAGAATTCAGCAGCCTGTGCATGTCCTTGATCTTCTGCCAGCATATTCTGCTTGCTACATCTGACTGTAGCATTGCCCTATCTCCCAGGGCTATTATCACTGCAAATGCTGGCAAATGTTCTTCACATAAAACAATAGGAATTCTGCTGTCATTTCTGCATTAGCGAGTCATAAAGCTCTGAAGAAACCCCAGTAGAAAGGTTTCCATCAAGTGCAGGTACAAAAAGGAACAGATAACTTTACAGCAAGATTGTTGCACTATTGCATCGTACCTAAAAAGAATAGTTTATAATCACTCACAAGTGACAATAACAGAAATAGTACTAATGAATTTCAAAACAAAACACAAAATAAACCAAAAACACTTAGCTAAACTTTAGAACCAGGTTCCAAGAAATACGTAAGTAGATGCTGTAGTGAGTTATTATCTGATGGACAGTCACACAGCACCAAAACACTGTCCTCTCCACTCCCTCCTTCTCGTGGAGAGAGTCTCTCTTACCATTTTCACACCCAGCTAAGTGAAGTTCTTGTCCGAGGGCAACCTTCTTACAGCATGAACTTCCTTTGACATTGCATAATGTAAATGCAATGCTTCTCCATGAAAATACAGAAAAGTGAAAGGCAAAATAACACCAAGAGCTACTCTCTGGATTTCTTAAAGATCAGGCAGGAACTGGGTAACTTCTAATTGCCAATGGCTCTGTTTTCTTTTTTAATTGATTCTTGTCCCGCTATTTCTTCCAAGCCACTGCCCTGGGTTTACTCTAGTGATGGTATGAGGCCCCTACGTCTGTCTTGGTTCTCATGGAAAACTTGTCATAAAATAATTACACATTTTATGATATTTTTAATAAAGGTTAGATTCTTCAGTTGTTGGAGAATGCCAAAATAGTGTAATGCTTGTATTTGTTCTATTTAATTTAATGATATGAGAGATTTTTGATGAACACTGATGTAGATAAGGCAAACCAGCCTACCTCTCCTAAAGGAATATGATCAAGTTGAATCCTTTGCATTTTGGAATTTGCAAAGAAAGATTTATACATACGTATTATCCTCTCATTTGCAAAAAAAGCAACATGAAATGTGTGATATTAAAATTTGATTATACTCAGTTACTGGACAGATTTTTAAAATTTGTCCATAAAAATGATCTCAAATTCAATACACTGGGTGAGAGAAAAGCACATTTCATACACCTATTTAAATTTTAAAACTCATGAAACATTACTATATCCCACTAGATGCAGCTGTCTAATCTCTGTGTAATAGAAATATAAAACGATCTCGGGGAAGAAGCCGTACATACCCGGGGAGTGGGGTGTGCTGCATGAGAGGCTGTGGATGCGGTGAGGCAGCAGCTGTGTCTGCAGTGTTTTATTTCCTAACCAAATGAAGCAAGCGGAGACAAGCGTGGCATCTGATCATCTGAATGCTAAGCACTATTATCAATGAAATTACTTTTTGATCACATGAAGTGACTTATAATTCGAAATATTTCCTCTATAACAATATTGTAATGCTTTAAAAATAAAGTTAAAATTCAGCTTAAGAAAAGTATATTGGCAAAGTGTAGGAAACACTGACATCTTTAGTCAACTAAAGTTCTCTCTGTGCTGTGTGCTTGGACAGACATCGACGAGTGCGCTGCAGGGACACACAACTGCAGAGCGGACCAAGTGTGCCTCAATCTGCGGGGCTCCTTCGCGTGTCAGTGCCTTCCAGGGTACCAGAAGCGGGGGGAGCAGTGTGTAGGTAAGTGCCGTGGTGCGGTGAGCTAAGTCCTGTCTGCAGCATCTCCAGTCTTTCGAACAAAGCACTCACGGTAGTTGGAGAATGACAGCTAACAACTGCTTCTTCTTCCACGGACTGTCAACCTATTTTCCCACAAAAAAGAACTAAGCTTAAAGGTTGAGTCTGTCCTAAAAATCACAGTGTTGTAGACTAACGAAAGCAGAAATCTGGAGTGTAAGTGGAACCATGAAAGTAGCCAAGGAAATAATTTTAGCATAAAGGGCGTGGCACTAATCACTGGTGCCAGGGGCTTTACTCACTGTCACATAGCATCGCACAACACGTGAGGCAAAGGTGAGCTTCAAATACCAGCTCTACCCGAGTCACTCGAGTCCTGGGGCAAGTTACATAAACCCTGTCTCCCCTTGTTCACCCGTCCTGTGGAGACATTTGCCCACCTGAACAGCTCGCACAGAGGAGCGCCTAGAACAGGTTTGGCCCTGAGCCACACACCTGGGTGCTATTACCACGCCATGAGTTGGCAGAGTCTGAAGGCTTTTATGTTACAAGCCTGTGCTGGGCACTAGAAGTGCAAAGCGCAGCACGTTACCTGCCTCTCTCAAGGGTCTGAAAGTGTCAGCTCCCTGAGGGCAGCTCATGTCACTGTGCTTGGGCTCTAGTCCCTGCGAGTGCCCACCGTGTGGTGGCGGGGGTACGCGTGCATCATGAGTGAGTGGGGGGATGCAGTGGCAAGTCATGAGGTGGAACAAGACCCAGGGCTGTCATGAGACCCTGCAGGGGACACGGAACTGACTCCCTCTGTTCATTTATTCAGGTACCACACCTAACCACAGACCAGGAAGAGGCTGCGTTTTCTCTTAGGATCAGTAGGGACGGACAGGGGGCCAGCCCCCTAGCATCAGCTTTCACCAGAAAATGTGAGCTGTTAGCAGTAGGATGTCAACATCGAGTTCTTTGTGGGCCCTGATCCAGTTCTGCCTGCGTGGGGCTGTGCCTTGATGTTGAGGTTGGGTCCCAGCCTGAGAGAAAGACCCAGGGTCGTAGTGACTGGAGCCATGATTTAGAAGAGTGTGTAGAAAACTGAATAGATCCCAAGTTTTGCCCATTGTATAGTCAGAAAAGTAAACATTGGTGGGGGGAGCCAAAAAGTACAGAAAAACAACTCATCCTGCTGTGGAGTAAACCAAAGAGAAGAGAACACATGATCACAACCTTTTAGGAGAAAGTAGGAAGAGACCTTCTTAAACTCACATCCAGTCACATGTCTGCCCTGGTATTCCCCACAGAATCAAGTCCACGTGCCTCAACACAGCATAAAATATCGTCCTCATTCTGATCTTTCTCCGGTTATTTCATCAGCACTTCTCTCCCCAAGTAGAAATTATATCCGGCTCTGTCCACTAGTTATACACACACAGTGTCACACTTCAGGGCCTCCATGCATGCTCTTTCCAGCAAAGAGCATGCCCTCCTAGGAAACTCCGGGAGACCGTCCATGACCTACTCAAATACTATTACTCCTCCCTTACCAAATTATGATGAAGTCTCTTTTTTGTAAATTTCCAATCTGTTATAGACCAGTATCTCTGTAAAGTATAACAAAAATATGTGGTGATATCAAACTGCTATTTCTCAACATGTGTGCTTCTGTGTTTGTTTGTTGTAGATCAGTCCAAACAGCCCACAGTCGGAAGGCCACACACTGAGCAGTGCTGTGCTCCCTCTGCCCCTCGAAGCCCCTCCTGTTTTCTGTCTTATTCCATGGAATAAGGTTTTTCCTGCCTATCTTCCATACTAGGCAGATGCGGGTGGATATATGTACATTTATTATCACAGCAGCAGTGCCAGAAACAGTGCTAGCAAACAATGGTTTGGTGAAAGTTTATTTTATGCAAATGAGACTGCATGAGATACCTGTCTACCTATATCATTTATTCATCCAATATTTATTGAAGGCTGACTGTGTGCCACGCGCTGTTCTAGGTGTTGGACTATAGTAGTGAACGAATAGATTATACATATTTGTAGCTCTCATAGAGTTATGAGAAAGTACAATTTATACAGTTTGGCTGTCAATACGGGCACCTAGCTATAATATGCAGGACTAGGAAGTACTATGCTAAAATTATTCTTTTTTTTTTTTTTTTGGTACTGGGAATCGAATTCATGACCTCAGGCTTGCCAGGCAAGTGCTTATGCGCCTGAGCTATATCCCCAGCCCGCTAAAATTACTCTTAATTAGAATTATTTCCATTCATTCAAATAATTCTTATTGAGCACCCACTATGCCAGCCCTTGTTTCAACCTCTGAGCCTTCAGCAGTGATCAAACAAGAATCTCTCAGCTTCTACCTCAAGGGGAGAAGATAGGTCTTATTTACTATGTATTATAGTGAGGGAGACAAGACAAGAAATAAATGTAATAAATGCATAGCACAATGTCAAGGGCTACCAGGAAACCTAAAGCAGAATAAGGAAAAAGATAGAGCAAAATAAATTATGTGGTAGAGATGTTCTTCCCAAGGAGGACTAGACACCTGAACAAAGGGCCAAAGCCAAGTTCATACGTTTATTTATTTATTTCAATTGTGAATTACATAAAAAAAATCTTCTGCCTTATTAATAAGCCCCCATGTATTTTTACTTGCTATGTTCTAGGAATTTAGCCTACATTATGTCGTATAATCCTTCTAACACTTCTCTGGTATTGTTGCACTATTACTTCTAGAAGAAGAAATGGAAGTTTCAGCATTTAAGGCCAAGCTAGTAATTGCCAGAAGAAAGAGTCAAACTCAGGTGACCCTGAGACCTTGCAGGCACACTCCCTCTCACTGGAAGAACCACACAGCCCAGCATAATCTAATTTTTTTTGTTTTACCTGAAGGCAGTATCACCATATAGTGTTACATTGTAGATGTGCACTTATTTTAAATTACATGTTCCATGTTAGAATTGTCACAAAGTGTACAGTCATGAATTAATGACATTCTATTATGCTTATAAGATGTTAGAACTACTCTACAAGTTCTTGGTTGAGCATTTTATGGTCGGAAATATTTATCTAAGAAAGACACACAGGCTGGAACACTTACTTCATCAGTGTTAGAAGGCCACTATCAAGAGGTCAGTTGTTTAGCGTCCTTTCCTTCCACAGCGTTCTGTCCTTTGACTTCCTAAGATACACATGGCAAGCCTGCCTGCACATCTTGCAAAACGCTGAGATACTGAATGCTTCAAGGCCTTTGAGTCCCCAGCTGAACACAGCCCACAACTTCATTCTCATAGATTGTACCTCATCACTCCATTCTTTGCTCCATTCTTTGTTGTTTTCTACTTGTGTTATTTTTAAATAAGCATTGATCGCCCCAAACTGATATTCTCATTTGTATGGGAAACAGTCTTTCTTTTCTCTCCTTATGTCTCAGCCCACCCACGTGGGCTTATTTACCACTGAATGTGCTTTGCAGTCAATCTTTGTTCTTAACCTCTTAACCGAATGCTGGCCATAGTACATTTCAAACACATATATTCTACTCTTAACAAGAACATGCAAGAGAGAGAGAGAGAGAGAGAGAGGTGCAGAGACATAGAAATAGAGACAGAGGAATGGATGAAAGCATGAATTATTTTTCAAATGATGTCTTCCCTAGATAAGTTTTCTAGATAACCTCTACTGAGAACTTGGTGAGTCAATAATACGGTTCTGTGTTTGTGTGCCTGATCCCCTAGACATAGATGAATGTGCTGTGCCTCCATATTGCCACCAAAGATGTGTGAACACACCAGGCTCATTTTATTGCCAGTGCAGCCCGGGGTTTCAGTTGGCAGCAAACAACTACACCTGCGTAGGTAAGCTTTTGGGAACTGCCATCCTGAGTGGTTTCTTTCTTCAAGGAAAGGTACCTGTATGTCAGTGTGTTCTAGTTTTCTGTGCTCCTGAGAGAATTAGTTTTCATCAGCTTCCCTTAAGCAATCATAAAGCTGAAAAGACAGTAACTAATCATTTTCTTAAAACACATCAAGATGTGAATGGAAAACATTTTATACCTTGGTTTCACTTCTCTGTGGGTATATAAAATTTTTTTAGACTAAAGATCAATTGATATACACACACCAATTAGTCAACAGTGTATGATATAAATGCTGAAGGTGCCAAGGGGGTTACTGGGAGTTCAAGTATATAAACTTTCCACTGAAAGCGCATCTGATTTTTACGTGCTGCTTCTCCCCTTTCAGAATGCAGTGTCACGGCACACAATTATAAGATTGGCATGAGATGGAAAGAATCTAGTGCAGGAAAAATGCCTTTTCACAATATTTTCAGTGCCTTAGAGCATTGCAAAACTCTGTATGGGTCTCAAAGGCTTATGTTATAATTGTAATGGAATTTAGCAAAAACCATTTAAAAAGTAATAAGTAGCACATATAAATCTTCACCACAGCATGCTGAGAGATCATATCAGTGTGAGTGTCATGTAACAATTATTTACAGACTTGGCATTTTGAAGCTGAAAAACAAAAGAAAATAGATGCTGGAATATATATTTATTAGAAGCATTAAATTCTTTTGGGAAGATTTATCAAACATCACCCTAACTGTCATTCCTTAAAAATATTCTGGTATTTTTAAAAGAAATGTATGACAGACCTTTGAGATTGTTTGAACAAATATGAAACTGAATGGGTGTTCTCCAGTGAGCTTCTGCAGGGCAAAGAATTCAACGAGGGAATTACTTATCATCAAATGATACAGGCCAAGGATATGTTTAGATATGTTATTTATACATATTAATATATATAAAACCTTTCTTTCAGATATTAATGAGTGTGATGCCAGCAACCAGTGCGCTCAGCAGTGCTACAACATCCTCGGCTCATTCATCTGCCAGTGTAACCAAGGCTATGAACTAAGCAGCGACAGGCTCAACTGCGAAGGTAAAATATCTTCCAGATATTGTGCAATAAGATTCTGTCCTTGTAACCGGTGTTACTTTGTCTGCTTATGTACTTCTTGGTGAAAACAGATTTTTAACTCACTGAAATTCTGATCTACAATCTAATTAATGTAGTTATAACCTTGACTTTTTAGTATGTCACCGAAAGAAAAGAGAAAAGGCAAAGTAACTGAAATATTTGATCCAAGTGGAGTCTCATCTTTACAAATCGTGCTCTAGTGTCTTGCTTCTTCAATTGTGAGCTGATGACCAGTGGTATTAGCAGTTCCTGGGAGACTCTATAAGATCCAGAATTTCATACCTCTACCAAGACTTCCTGAGTCAGAACCTACTGTTTAACAAGAATGCTGTGTTATTGATGTGCACATTTATGTTTGAGGAGAGCTGAGGGCATTATCAAAAATATTACAGTGAAAACGAAGAGCCAGGCATGGTGGCACATAACTGTAATTGCAGCACTCAGGAGGCTAAGGAAGGAGAATAGCTAAAAGATCGGGGTCAGCCTGGGCTACATAGTAAGTTCAAGTCACTACATAGTGAGACCCTGCCTCAATAAAGCAAGAGGGAGAGGGAGACAGAGAGAGAGAGAGATCTGGTCCCTATCTCTGTTACTGCTCTGTGTGACTTGGGTACATTCCTTAAGCAGCCTGGGTTTCATATTCCATATTAATAAAAAGAGGCCCATTCACCTAGCTGGGTAAACATTAGAGCTGATTTCAGGAATTCATTCCACTGGGTAAGTCAAGGCATAAGACATCATGAAGGGAACACCATCAACACTTGATATCCCTGACTTCCTCATGATCCCTCTAGGTCTGCTTGGAGCACAAAGTTCATACCCGACCTAAAAGACCTCATATCATACCAGTGTACTCAAAACTGGGAGAGGGTGGCCTGAGACAGCTGCCTGTGCTATTCTGGAGCAAACTCTAGGAACATACTGATTCAGAAATACAAACGTACCTATTCTGGTCCCCTGAAGACCAGATCCTGCCAAGATATCACTTCTGGAAACATCTGGAGTTCATATTCATGAACTCAGCCATGGGGTCATGCAATTTCTGTGAAGACAAGAGTGAATCTGCATTCTGAGTGGGTGTTCAAAGCCTAACGTGAAGAGTGTCAACCACAGCCCAGTTTGTTCAGCCTGCTCAACTAGTGTAGGTAGGTTCACGCTTAGCCAAACCGTCAGCATTGACTCAGTAAAACTGTTGGTAAGAAAACTCCTTGTGCTCTGAAGCCAGAGAGGGAAATACATTATACTCTAAGGATGGGCCCTTGAGTTTCTGATAATCATGTATTTCTGTTGTAGAACTTACAGTATTTTTACTCTCAATACCTCATCTAGACACTACCAAAGCAGTGACATAACCTTTTGAACTTTGTGTCCATGCTGTTCTGTGATTCAACAGACATTGATGAATGCAGAACCTCAAACTACCTGTGTCAGTACCAATGTGTCAATGAACCTGGGAAGTTCTCGTGTATGTGCCCACAGGGATACCAAGAAGTGAGAAGAACGTGTCAAGGTAAGCATATCGTCTTCACAGCTGCAAAGTGTTCAGTTTTAACCAGGAAAAAAAAATGGAGGATGTTATAGGAGGATGTTCTCTACTATAAAAATTCATTTTCCCACATTAAATATACAATTTGAGCTCTTTTTTTAAATGTTTTTTTTATTTTAAAGAGTAAAAGAAGGATTACATAGTAATGGGGGGGTTTACTGAATTACAGACAAAGTGGTAGGACATTATCAATGGTTGTTATTTTACCTATTGGTATCTTCAGGATAATTTCTCAGGAAAACAGATAGACAAATAATAGTGAGTTACAGACAAAAATGGTAGGAAATTATCAATGGTTGTTGTACTGTACTTTGGTTTCTTCAAAGTGGTTTCTAGGGAAAACAAACAGAGCTATACATGAGTGATCAATTAAATAATTGTTGACTATTCTCAATGGTTGTTATTGAAAACACATGGTAATAAACATACATCTATTTACAAAATAGCATAGGAACAATACAAACATTACAGAGTTATGGACATTACAGAGTTATGGACAGTTATGGCTGCTATAATGCATGTTGGTATCTTCAAAGTGGTTTCTCAGGAAAACAAAGATATGCAAGAAAGATCTAACAAGTAGTTACAGCCTAAGGGTTGTGAAAAATAGCGGATTACCTCCTCATCAGTGACTGCTTTCACTGAGGTGTGACAGCTGGAAGGAAGGCCAGGATCAAAAAGAAAGACCAAGAGACTAGCACCAGTGTCCAGCAATAGGCTGTTTACTTTTTCTTGTATAGTCATGATTACATGGGGCTCCTCGGAGATAATGATCTGGCCAGAGGGAGAAGGCAGAGTGTGCCCTGGGTCCCTTCATTCCTGTTGGACCAGCTGGTAGGAGGGGTCTGAGCTCTGGGGCCTCCACTTCAAAGGGCAGTCCGACCTCTAGTGGTCACCTTTACAGTCAGGGCATGGCCCAGGGGGGCTTCTTAGGGCAGTCCCTCTTGAGGTGGCCTGGCTTTTGATAGCGGTAGCAGGTGAATGCAGTCAACGAGTTTTTCTTGGGGCCCTGAGAATCAGACTTAGGGTCTGTTTCTCTTAGTGCTGCAACAAAGACAGCTGTTTTTTCTTGGTCTCTTTGTTTTCTCTTCTTGCTGTCCTCCTCGTCACGGCTATAAAATACTGAGGAGGCAGTTCTTACTAACATCTCAAGTGAGCTATCTGGGGCAAAAGCCATTTTTTGTGGCTTTTTTTCTACTATCTGGGGCTGACTAAGTAATAAACTTATCTTTAAGAATAGTTTGTCCCTCTACTGAGCTGGGATCTAGGGAAGTATGCTTTGTCAGTGCCTCTTGTCTAAGAAAGCAGAGGGATGTTCTCTCCAGCCTCCCAGCACACTGGGACCCCGCAACCACTTAGTGTCCTCTTCCCAACCATCAACACAGGCAGCAGGAACATGTGGATGAAGTCCTCAGCACACTAGTCAGTCTCAGCACTATCAGGTGTGAAATGTCCCAGGCAGGTAACCTAGACACGTACCTTCTCCATGAAGGCAGTTCTTCAGAATCTGAATATTGGGCACCCATGTAATCCATGAAGTCTCAGTGCAGACCTCTCCGGAGCTCCACTTGCTCCTCCGCTGCAGCCTGTACAGGTAGGGGAAGAATGGCCTCCAGGGGGTCTCCCCAGGTATTACTCAAGGTCCTCTTGGTTTCCAGCTCCCGAATGGCTCTCGTGTCCCCAGTCAGGGAAGTCTGAGTTGGCGGGCCTCGGTACTCTCATGTTCTGGGAGTCCTTGTTCATCAGCTGCTCCTCCACTGACTCCGGACCTTTCTGGCTCTCAAGGGCAGGGACAAGAGTAACCCGCCATGTGGCATGTTTTCCCAGAGATTTCTCCACGTTGGGATGGTTCACATAGTCTCTGAGTGGGCCTATTGTGTCAGTGCTTCTCTGTGGCATGGTGGTTCTCAACCGCGCATCAGTGGCCAGACCAAGGGCCGGTACGTGTCTCCACACTGCTTCCCAGGCACCTGGTGCCTGCCCCTCTGGACACCTGTGCGGCTGGGGTCCAGGCCCAAAAGGGCTGGCACGCCCCGCCACACAGCTTCCCGGGCAGGCGCCTGTGGCCTGCCTGTCTCCCAGGCGCCTCAATTTGAGCTCTTTCTCTCCCTATTTATAATGACTTAATGCACACCTCATAAAGAGGAGATTCAACATTGACCTTGACTTTGCTTGACATCCAATTCTTTTTTTTTTTTGGTCTTTTTTTGAGACAGGGTCTCACTATGCAGTCAGGCTGGCCTTGAGCTCACTTTGTAGCCCAGGCTGGTCTCAAACTCACAACAATCCTCCTGCCTCAGTCTCCTGAGTGCTGGGATTACAGGTGTGCGCCACCACACCCAGCTTCAATTCTTTTTTTTTTTTTTTTTTTTTTTTGGTACTGGGAATCAAACTCAGGACCTTGTGCTTGCCAGGCAGGCACTTGTGCCACTGAGCTATATCCTCAGCCCGACTTTGCTTGAAATTTAGTGTTTTTTCTGAAAACATAATTTTAATATAATGCTAATATCACTACTAAATAGCCAGTATAATCTCAATGAGATGACATCTGCTAATCATCTACCAGAAAAGATTCAATTATTAAAATGTTTCCCTATGAGTTTAAGTTTATAGCCTAACTTAGTAAGTTGCTTGACAGACTTCAACAACACAAAGACTAAATTATGCAGTAAATTAAATGCTGAGGGAAATTATTCTTATGTATATTAAAATGTGCTTTGAGAAATAAAAACTATTTATTCCAAGATAGATAACAACCTTGGGCCCAATTTCAAAATAAACAAACACTCGTGTAACCTTCACACTTACGCATAGGGGAGGCAGCTGTCTATAACGGTATAATTTCATAGTCTCTCTGGAAGATCTAAAAATAGGCACTCTTCTCCTACTTCCTATGCTTCACGTAGTTTAAAATTTCTTTAAATGAAAAAAACTGGCAAACATAGCCAAAAATGTAGATAGTCCTGAAAAGGCTAGTACAGATACTTAAATTTACACAAAATAGTGAGGGAGTGGAAAAAAATGACCAAATTTGAGAATAGAAAACTTATGTAAACCTAGCTCTACTGCATTTGATCAATATAATCTTGAACAAATTATTAAACTTTGTAAGTTTTGACTGTCCTTTCTGAGAAAGGGAAATGTGGGAATGAAACACAATAACATGTACAGATCATTTGTGAGCTGTAAAACCTGCACAGTTCAGTTTTCACAGCAGTTAGCAATGTAAATGACTACTAGTAAATCCCCTCTAGAGAGCCTTATTTAATCAGAACTGAAAAGAGTACATAAGGACAGCAAAGATGGTTAAGAAAGGGAAAGATCCAGGAAAGGGGAAAATTGGGAATCTCAATCTATATCATAATTGTACAGGAAAATATTAGCTCAGAGGAAGACCCATGACCACTAGGTATGAGCATGATCAGTCGCCATTCACTGCTCAGTGAGCTCTTTGTAACCCTTTGCAGATTACTAGAAACTCTGTAAATGTTAATTGTGGAAAAACACTACATTCCAGTAGTTATACTTGTTGAAGTCTAATTGAGACTTTAAACATGAGTATTAAATGCAAAGAAAAAGCTAGTGTGGTATTTTAACCAATTTGGCTACTCTTCCAAATAAATGTCCATGTGTTTCTGATCATAACTAGATTTGATACTCAGTAAAAACAGAAGCACATTAGTGTACAGTTGGATCTTATTTGCCTGATCTATATTTCCAAAAACGGTTATATCTGTTTTAAGTAAAGGTAGAAAATGCACTGAAATTGAAAGCAGGCGTTCTTGAGTGTTGTTGTGTTGAAGATAATGCACCTTCAGAATATTCACTTAGGCCGTTTTTCATGGAGAGTTACAGTCTGTTCAAGTAGAAAGCAGTTGTTCTCCTCCACTGAAGCTATCGCACCTGGGCCTCAGTCACAAACACAAAGCAAAACTGAGTATGAAGTAATTGTTCTCATTTCCACACTTAGAAAATGAAAACAGAGTGTGTGTGTGTGTGTAGAGATGGAGACAGAGACAGAGAGAATAGATAAACATACGTCCAGACAGGCAAAAAACGATCAAGTTATCAGTAATGCTAGGCTCTAAATTACTGGGAGTAATAAATGAAGTTATAGTTTAAGCTTCCTTTTTTGCCACTGTTGGACTCCATATGACAAAACAATCTTGGTTTCTCTGTGGTTAAATGGCACCTGTATTTCTTAAGAAGGTGGAAAATATTGAAAGGGCAAATCAATCATGATTTCTTCTAAGGAATCTAGGTTTTCTGTATTCACCCATAACCAGTCCAAAAAGATTCTTCTTGTAACTGACTCTTGGAAACTGCATAGCTTTTCTAGTCTCCTCCTGGATTATAGATGACTGTAGCCATTTGCAAGCAAAAAGTTTTTCTACAAGGACAGGATATGGTTATTCTTATTTAGAGTAACTTGCACTGGAAAGATACCCGTCACTAACTATATGAACTTGAACTAGCCCTTTCATCCTTACTTGTTTTTCTGCAGTATCAAATGGAGATAATATCTTCCTCACCTGTCTCCACATGGTTTGTGTGAGAAGCAATTTACTTAATTTAATATTCTGAAAGGCATATTCTCCAGTGCATTAACTCTTGGTGAGAAGATTAAAGATGAGTACAGTAGCCTTTGCTCCCAAAGAGTTTCAAGTTAATAATATAATTAAAACATAGAATTTAATTCATTTAACCATTCTGGAAAAGATGGCTGTGGTCATGTTCCTCACCTGATGCAGAGTTTGCAAACAAAAACAGATTTGCTAAGCAGTTGTTTGCAAATCAAATTATTTTGTAAACTGAGGGTACCCATTGCAGATTTCAATAGTGCAAAGCAAAAAAGGAATAAAAGCCCTAAAAGAGAAACACCATGCATGAGACTTCAAAAGAGATCAAATCTCATCACTTATCCCATGCCTGGCTTGCAGCAAGGATTCAGTAAATTACTTACGGGGTGAGTAAATTAATGAATAAAAGCCTCCAATTCTGGGAAGTACATGATTCAGAGAAGGCTTATATTGGATAGAATATAAATTACTATTCAAATATAATGGGTAGACTTAGAAAGAGGTGTGTATATTAATTTAATTGTTGCTGTTGTCATAAATGTAGTAACTCATTACTAAAACTGTTCTTTTCCAAGTTATCTGAGAGCCAAATAGCGACTAATAGCCAAATCTAGAATCAGTCTTTGTCTGACCTGGCTGACCCACAGCCCTCTCCTAGGCTCAGGTCCCTCTGGCTTCTTTGGCACTGCTTTTCCTAGTTTGCCTCCCAGCACTTACTTTCTTTTCCATGCAGTCCTTAAATAGCTCTGCTCTAACTGGTGAAACGCTCCATAGCTTTGCCTCTGCTCTGCCGCCTTTGATAGTGCATTTCCCGCTCCAGTCATTTACTGTCTGTCCCTCAAGTGATGCTGCTTAATGAAGCTATCTTTCTGGCCTTTGCCTCTCTCCTTCTCTGCTAGGAGATGATAAATCTCCCTGCTTCATAGTTTTTGCTTGTCTTTTTCTCAATCTGAAAAGCTATTCCCACCCTAGCCATGAAAATCTGACCTAGTCACCACGCTACAAGGCCAAGGTGAGATGCGTACTTCTTCCTTCAGGCTTTCTTCATCCTCTGGACAGAATTAATCAATTGTACACCAAACCCACCAGTGTACTCACCTGTCCTTTAATTCCACTTTACTTTATAAGTAGTTGCACCCATGTTTATATTCCCAACTGATCTTTTTTACTTTAATATAAGCAGAGTCAGTAGTTAGCATTTGGCTTTTAATTCAACAGATAAAGAATTGATGCTTCATAAAATATGAAATAACACTTATTAATCTGTAAAGAAAGGCTCACATATGTCTATCCTGAATTCAGTGCAATGAAATTAGGTCCCACTTAGCCTTGTGTCTAAAAGCAGAGTGAATACAGTCCACATTCTCACAGACTTCCTTGCAAACCAGAACCTGCCACCTACACAATTTTCTTAGGTCTATAAACTCTTTAACCCCACATCTCTACAGATATAAATGAATGTGAGACCACCAACGAATGCCGAGAGGATGAAATATGTTGGAATTATCATGGTGGCTTCCGTTGTTACCCGCGAAATCCTTGTCAAGATCCCTACATTCTAACCTCAGAGAGGTACGAAACATCAGAACTTTTGAAAGTGAGAATTTTCTGGTCGTCTCAAACCAAACCAGTGAACACTGTTTTTGTCTACCTCTGCAGCCGATGTATATGCCCAGTCTCAAATGCTATGTGCCGAGAGCTGCCCCAGTCCATAATCTACAAATACATGAACATCAGATCTGACAGGTCGGCACCATCAGACATCTTCCAGATACATGCCACAAATGTCTTTGCCAACTCCATCAACACTTTTCGGATTAAATCTGGAAATGAAAATGGAGAGTTCTACCTACGAGTAAGTGTCCTGCCGGCAGCACGCACTGTTGAGACAGGTAGAAGTTCCTCCCTGATGTGTAGAGTTCAGATGAAAGGAAGGCTAAGGTTTAAAAAGTTCTATGTATGAGAACTTCCATGTATATTAAACCTATATATTAAACCTTCCATGTATATTTAAACCTAGCAACACTGTAAGACAGATATTCCATTGATCTCTGTGGCACTTGGCTTCTTGTCACTGTGACAAGATGCCTGCCACAATTAGACTAAAGCAGAAGGACTTTTTCGGTTCAGGGTTTCAGAAGCTTTAATTCATGGCCAGCTGGAGCCATTGTTTCTGGCCCTGGAGTGAAGCAAAACATCAGGGTGAAGAAGCTGTAGTGGAGCAGAATTGCTCACTTCACAGCAGCTGGGAAGCAGAGTGAGAGAGGGGAAAGGTCCCAATAGGAAAGAAAGAATTCTGAATGCCAGATACAGTCTTCACAGTCAACCTCTGTCAACTACTTCTTTCAACTAGACCCATCTTCTGTCTCCATCCCCTCTAGCAATACCATCACATTATGTTGGCGCACTTGTAATCCTATCACTGCCCTCAAATCCATTGACAACCAAGCTCTCAACACAGTGAGTCTTGGAAGGACACTTTGGATCCCACCACAACACTCCTTGTTTTATAGACGCAAAAAATGAGACTCAGAATAAGCAGCTTCCCCAAAGTCACTTACATGAACAAGCTGCAGCCTCTAATAGAATTGTATGTAACTACAGAAATACAAGCCTACACACACACCCCAGATAGGTGCCACAAATCAGTTATATTTAATTGTACACAGAAAAAAATATTTCTGGTGATCTTTTAAAGCATCATGAATTCTTTATTACAACATCTGCAAGACAGTTTACATTCACACCAAAACTAAAACCTGTCAGTCTCTGAGAAGTGACCCACATCCACACACAGCATATGTCACTAGTTGTGCTATTTATACAAACTTCAGGGCAGTTGTGTACTCATCCATGTCTTTTCCTACACTTTCATTGCCTTTGTGAAATCTCCGTTCTGAATTTGGCCATTTCTCTCTTCACAATGTCTCCTGGATTATCTTCACGGCCCATCCTCCAGCCTGTACGCCTTTGACTGTTCTGATCACCTCCCCAATCTTTCCAGAGTATCCAAGCTGATCTGGACTCCAGAGCCTCAGCCTCCCAGTCTTCCCTGTAAAATTTCAGCAAATCGTTTTAGGATAAAATTCTGACATTTTAAATATGGCTCACACTTCATGTGAAAATGATGGCATTGCACCAAGGCGTTTGCAGGGTTACAGTAACTGCTTCATGCTAAGGATGTTATTCATCCAGTTACAATTTCTCAGAACTCCTTTGGACACTCTTCACTCTTAATCAAAGTCAATACTTCATTTTCAGAATATGAAAGTAAATTGAGAAATTCATCCTTGTGCTAAAGTTTACAGATTTTAATGTTTACGTGTTTATCCTGTTCTTTGATAGATTAACATCCCTTCTAGCTCAAGAGTAATGTGATTCCAGTAAATTTAAAATGACTCATTTCTCTAACTAACATCTGAAATGAAAAACTCAATCCACAGTACAATCTTGCTATTATTTTTTCTAATAGGAAAAAATAACTTCTTAATCCTCAGTTTTAATTTTGAGACATACTATATATTTAAAGAAGTTACCTGTGAATGAGTTTCATACAGTTCAGATAATTACCAATTAAGTAATTCTAGCCCAAACAGATAACCTTATCAGTAATCACTTGATAATAAAATAGGTTCACCTCAAAGTGTCTCTAAAATGACTTTCCATTTTGAACTCGTAACTATAAGAAAACAAAATTTCTGATCAAAACCAACAAACAGCTAAATGAAGTTTCAACATGTTTTTTCTCTGCAATGGCATTTTGAAAGTTATTTTTATTCATACCTACATTCATTGACTTTCTTGGGCAGTACTGGGGATGGAACCCAAGGTGTTTCACTCAGCCATACCTCCAGCCCTTTGTTATTTTTTATTTTAAGGCAGGGTCTCACTGATTTGCAAATTGCTCAGGTTGGGTTTGAACTTGTGATCCTACCGCCTCTTCCTGCCAAAGTGCTACATTACAGACATGTGTCACCATGATGGGCTTGGCTCTATTTTTTGAATATAGCTATTCATCATCTTTTTCTCAAATGAAATCCTTTTTCTCATGAACGATAGAAAACATTGCCAATTTTATAATTCCAGAGTTAGTTAATTCCAAATTATTTGAGGAAAAGCTACTTAAAAATAATTCAAGATTACTTATCACATAATTTAGAAGACATAATTTAGAAGGTACATAGATCAAATCCTACAAATTTCTCCACTGACATTCCACTTACACAGAGGGCATCTAATGTATAAAATTAACTAGGCTTTAATTAAGTGTGTACTATGTTCTCTGCTTCATGCTGGGTGCTATGAGGAATTAAAAAGGCACGTGAAGTACACTCCTGATTTCAAAGAGCTTTAAATATCACCGTGCAGCAAAGGTTAGCACCTATTTAAAAAAGAGCCAATTGTGTGCTTAAGTCCATAATCCAAAGACTTAAAAATTAATAGACACAGGAGAATTCTTGATAATTGTGGAGGTTGACTGGACCCTTGAAAGAATGTAGTAGTATATACATTTTTGTTTAAATTCCTTTTAGAAGAGTGCTAAGAAAATCTTCCTTAGAAAGAGGAATATACTGTAAAGAAATAGTGCATGACATTGAAGGCAGAGTATCACACCCTCCAGCCTTGGTTTTATTCATAGCTGGATCACCACCTGGCGTGTCATCAGCTGACTGTGTCGTTATGAGAACAGAGACCTTGCCTGCCTTCACTAGTCTGTTCTTAGCATGTAGCATGGCCACTAGCATATATCAGGTGCTCCAAAATTATTTTTAAAAGAATTAATACAATAAACACCTTCAAGGCGTTACTGTTACCTACAACTACTGCTTACAAGAGACAACCTTCCCTGTATACAACCACAAGTGAATAAAATCAAGCCAATTCCTGCCCCATTAGAGCTTATTGTCAAGACATCAAACATGTGCTGAGAAAGATGCAGAACACTGCAACAGGGCTGCAAGTTACACACACACACACACACACACACACACACACACACACATACACACGCACCGAACTAGTGTATATAGTATATAGTAAGTATTCCTAACAACGAAAGCAGTGGTCTGAGAGCCTTTGGAAGAAGTGGATTTAAGTTCAAACATGAATTCAAGAAGGGAAAATAAATGGACTATAAAGACTTACTGATCTGAAAATTAAAGCACTCAGGCAGAATGCCTAAGAGAAGCTTGATGAGATGAACAGGGTCTAGCTCACACACCGCCTGATAGAACATTTTAAAGATTTCGAGTAGCCTATATTGGATTTTCATGTCAAAATGACTCCTGCCTACACTACAGAGCCCAGATTGGACTGGGGAAAGAATGGAAATAGAAAGTGCAGTTAGAAATTCAAGGGACAGAAATTTATGGGGTAGCAGTGGATTTTTTTAAAAGACAGATTTATACAGATACTGAAAAGTACAGCTGGAAAGGCAGGTAAGTGGGTGCATGGGTCTAAATGCCAAGGGATGGGGACTTGGATTAAGATTTAGCAATCACTACAATGAGAGGTCATTAAATAAAGAGAGAGAATGCAGATGTGGTAAGGCTGGAGTTTTGGGAGAGGAAGAAATGGAAGAGGTGAAACCAAGAACTACATAACTTTGTAACTCACTTGCTATTGGTAATTTAGAGGATAAAGAGAATCAAAGATTACATCCTCCATTTTTCTGTCTCAAGCAATGGTAAATGGTAGTACCATTTACTGAGAGAAGAAAAAGGAACCAGTGTGGAGGAAAAGATAAGGAATTCATTTGGATAGGTTAAGTCCTGATACCCAGGAGACATCTTTGTAGAGATAAATTGAGAGTTGACTATGTAGATTTGAGATACAGACTTTCAAGTCACCGGCAACCATTACAGCTAAAGCCATGACAATGGTTAGGATCCCTCAGGGAGAGTGAGCAGGGAAGAAAAGAGGGCCTGGAATAATGAGGGGCTGTATTACTAAGTGTTCCTTCTGAGCAGGGCATCATTAGAATTGTTCACTACCTTAGCCTACAGTTCCCTGGCCACCTCCTCTCACATGCCCTTCAGCATCGTGCCTTCTGCCATCAGCCACCATGGCCAGACCCAGACTTGGTTTTCTTTTGTAACAGTTTCACATGATGAGAACCTTGACCTCTAATGGCCCACTCAGCACCTGGCCTGCCTTCCTCCCTTTCATGCCCCCATTCCCACTCTGTGTGCTCCTCATCCTCAAAGTGACAGCAGTCCTCCATCCTCCTCTAACCTTCCCAATGCCTGGTGGACACTTGGACTATCCTGTCACCATCACCTCAGTCTTCTGTCAGCACCCTCAATCTTAATACCCAATGTGTCTGCACAGATTGATAATACAGCAAAAATCTTAGTCTCTAATTTCATATGTCCTTAGTATACTCCATAATCCTTACTTGTTCTAATTTCTTCCTTTCTGTTCTCTTTAGTCCCTGATCTCAAAAGTTCCCATATCCTTTAAGTCCTTATCCTCTTCATTTTTACTTCCTACCCTTCCAAAATTATCAGCACCAATATGCATGAATTACTTGTACCTCCTATCCCAACCCATGCAAACTTACATCTCTTTGTCCTCCTTGTGGCCCAAAGACAGGCTTTCACTTCTTCCAGTCAAAACCACCCACTACCTGTATTCCTAATCCCATCTCCTCTGGAACCTTATTCCATCAGATTCCTCTCTACCTCCCATATATTCAACATCATTCTCCCTCTAGATTTTGCCGTCTCTCTTCTCCCCAGCAAGACTAGGTTCTTAAGATTCAGCCTGTAGTCACACCCTGTTATTCCTCACTTCTAGATCCCTTCTCTACCTTCTGTTCCCATTGCCCTACAAGAGCTGGTGGGGGGGACCACAGTGACATCCATACCCTTCTGTTCAGAGGGCTCCTATCCGTTCCAGGAACCTCACCCTCATCCACTTTGTTGGATACTCCTGGCCACCCTCTGTTACAACTTTATCAGCTATTTATGCTCAGCTTACTCCTTGATTTCTTCCATTTCATTCTCTCCCAGAACTCCAGCATTACCATATCTGCATTCTCTTTATTTAATGTCCTCTCATTGTAGTGATCGCTAAATCTTAGTCCAAGTCCCCATGCCTTGGTATTTAGACTCATGCATCCACTTACCTGCCTTTCCAGCGGCACCTTCTACCACTTCCAGAGTCCCTCACATTGTTCACCAAAACTAAAGTACCTCCAGCTGTCCTAAACATGGTACTTTATGAAAGTCCTGCTTATCCTTGGAAACTCTCCTTAGGCATTGAAAACCCTCCCTTCAATGTCTCAGGGTTTCTCTACTTTTCCTGTGTATATACAACTTTATTCATACACCCTGTATATCGGTATATTTCTTAAAATTTACCACATTCTACTGAAATTAACTGTTTACCTATATCTTTACCCACTACAATGTGAACAGACACACAGTGTTATAAAAGTGAAAAGGGACAACTTTACCAATTCAAACGTTATCAGATTCTCATCTCATGCAGTTTCTATAAAAGCTGGAACTACTTAATAAGGGGTTAGAGAAATGATAACAGAGCAGAAGGACTAGGACAGAATAACTGTTTCAAAAGCAAGTCCTTGTAACATGGAGCTAGTGATGAGAGGTGTGCAAGGCCTAAGAGTGCAGAAGGGTCCAAAGTAAGAGACTATATAGCACCATTTACTTCCCTGCTTCCCCACTTTTATAGAAGGTGTAATAACAGATAATAAAAACCCTCCTTTTTATTTCAGCAAATAAGTGCTGTAAGTGCAACACTTGTGCTGGTGAAGTCACTGTCGGGACCAAGGGAGTACATCGTGGACCTGGAGATGCTGTCAGTCAGCAGTATGGGGACCTACCGCGCAAGCTCCGTGTTAAGATTGACAATAATAGTGGGGCCATTTTCATTTTAGCTTTCGTAAGAGTCTACCACAGGCATTTAAACCATCCAAAGAATATTGTTACTTTAAAACACTATTTTATTTATAGATATATCTAGTATATCTACATTTATATACTGTACACACACCCATAATTCAAACAATTACGCAATGGTATAAAGTGGGCATTTAATCTGTAAAGATTCAAACTTTGTCTTTATTACTATGTGTAAATTAGACATTAATCCACTAAACTGGTCTTCTTCAAGACAGTTAAGCATGCATAATCAAGTGAAACTTGGATACTTTCTTGTAAAAATGGAACCAAGCAATGGTGCTCTTCCGTGGTGCTTAGGGAAGCTGACTAAAGCTCCACTGATGGCCTTCCAAGGAAGCAGCCACCATGACATTGAGACATATGCAAGGGTGAGAATGAGTTTTTAACTGCTTTGTAAGCAAATGGAAAATGTCAATGTATATATATATATTGACATATATATAAATGTCAATATATATATAAAGATATATTTCTTTAGAAAATGAAAAGCTACCATATTTATAATCATCTTTATTTTCATGAGTCTAAAGGTGGTTTCTGTAGGTATTTTAAATTGTAAGTATTAAAACACAATAAATAAAATTTTCCAAAATGAACCAGGTATCCCCCAGAAAAGTATTCTATTAAGAAACCTATGGGGAAGAAATAAGAAAAAACCATTTTCTAAACCACTTTAGAGTTGACCTGAAGAAGTAAATTCAGTAAATACAGTAACATCCTTCGAGTTGGAATTTCTCCAAGAGGCAGAGCAAAGTGGGAAATGACTATTTCACTGGATAAGTTTAATTTCTAAATAAAATTAAAATTTTATTACTTCACTAATTTATAAGTAAAAGTTTTCATCTTTATACTTGATGCTCATAGAGGAAGAAAATTATGATGGTTTTTATTCCTGGCATTCAGAGTGACAGTGAGCTAAAGCAAATCTCTCCATTCCAATTCTATGAAAACATGTTATATCTTCTTATTTGTTTAAAATGTAATTGATTCACTTTAGTGTGTCATTTTTTAAATAAAAACATTCTTTTTAAAAGATCACCCAGTATTTGGAGGTTTTTTAATGTAGCCAGTAATAGTTCATACAACTTTTACATCTGCAGAAAAATCAATTATAGCTGCCTGGGCAAAAACAACTGGTTCCATAGCCTTTTTGTTGCTGGAAAAAACCTTCATACCCGTAAGCACTCACTCTCAATCCTTCCTTGTGACAGCTTCAGTAGGAACCACCGCAGACCTGCTTTATGTCCTATGGACATGTTGTACATGCAAGATAATACAGTATTTCTTTTATGTCTAGCTTCCTTAACTTGTCGTAATGTTTTCTAGGCTCATCCATGTTGTATGTAACAGTACTTCATTGTTTGTAACTGAATAATATTCCATTTTATAGACATACCACATTTTGTTTATCCATTCATCAGTTGATAGACATCAGTTACTAGGTTGCTTCTGCCTGTAATTCCTTTTATCTTGGGTGTCAAAAGAAACTTATTGCTAGACCAGTCTAATTAATTTCACACCTAAATTCACCCATTTTTTACATTTTGACTAAAAAAAATTACCAAGTGAACAAAGGGTTTTTTTAATTATGGGAACAAAAAACTTAGAAAGAACTTTGGGATGCTAACACATGAGTTTCTTTATATGTACAGGCATCCTCAGTAAATATGGACAATCTCATGGTCTCTTTTAAATAATTTGAAGTTCAAAGTAGATATGATGATCAAAAACAAGCCAAATCAGTAAGACACATCCTGCTTTTTCAAACTATACTACTTCCCACTCTCTTCCTTTAAAATCATTGATCTGAACCACCTTCCATAGATGAGAATTACAGGAATAATTTATTATCAGTCACTATTATCATATATTTACATATACACACACAAACTTGTATATATTCAAACATATACTCAAATACTGAATATATATATTCAAAGCCAGGTCTGCTCCGAGGAATATTCACATATTCTGTGAATTCAATAACTGTTACGCTGAAAAACCCCATATCTATAAGTGGTCACTCTGTCCTCGTCACAGCTCCAGTGGGAACCACCACAGACCTACTTTGTGTCCTTGTTACTTTAAAACACTTTTACTTATAGATATATCTACTATATCTACATTTACATACTATACACACACCCATAATTCAAACAATTACACAATGGTATAAAGTGGGCATTTAATCTGTAAAGATTCAAACTTTGTCTTTATTACTATGTGTAAATAGTAATTTGTCTATTCTGGACATTTTACTCCTGTGAACACCTGGATTTTTTGAATCCAAGGAATATCCACGTTTGTGTGTAATTTCAGCTTTAAAGTGTATATTTTATATTCAACAAATATGTATATTCCAGTATATATTCAAACATATATATTCAAATACTAAATATATATATTCAAACCCAGGTCCACTCCAAGGTTAGGGAAACATCTTAACACTGAGCTACATCCCCAGACCTATTATCCTTTTTCTCTTGGCAAATATTTATTAAGAAGTTTCAATGGTAATCCCTTCCAGCATCTAATGGCATGATATACGATAGAAGAACCAGAACTCTAGCCTCTGTTCTAGTGCTAATGAGCTGAGAGACCTCGGGCAAGTCACTTAGAGTCTCAATCTAAAAAAACTAGGATGTTGAAACAAAGTGTTTTTTCAGCTTTAAAAGATATAGCTAATCCCTGAGGGATTCACTTAAAGAAGAGATAGCTCTATTTGCCAAATCTTTGCAAGATCTGAGTATCTTCTGAATGCACTGACAGTTGAGAAACATGGGGCATTGGTGGAAGAAAAATAAAATTAATAGTTCCCACCCAAAAACATTTTCACATTATTGGAGCTGAGGACATGAGAAATAGTCCAATTCAGGTGTAATTATTTTAAAATTATAATTTAAAATCCAGTGTTTTAGGATGCATTCTCTTTATGTTTCTGTTCCTTTCCACTCATTCTAACTAAAATATGAGTACTCACACTAAACTAAAAGTCAGTCACCTGGTTTCACCAGTGGAGAAAAGGCTAGTGAGCTCTCACGCTCCACAGAGATGGCTGCGTTCTTCCTCAGTCATGAGCCTCAATCATGAGGACTGACCTAGGTGTTTCCACCACTTGCCCATTCTCATGCCTAAATCCTGGGCTATGAAACTTCCACCCTGTGGCTGGATGAAGTTATTTTCATAATAGTGGTTAGAAAAGGCCTCTTACCGGTTAAGCCCTTTTGACAACAAGATAATTTCCCTCAGCTGCCATATTTCCCAGACATAAAATCTCTCCTGTTACACATTCATCTTTTTAATAACAATAAGATTCTATAATTAGATACCATCTTGTCAAACCCTCTTGTTTTAAAGATTTGTTCAAAGTCTCTGTTGAGCAAGAGCACAGTGCATAGAATACTGGGAAGACTTAGATTACAGCTCTTTTTATGTGAGCTATACTCCAAATTTCAACATCAGACAATTCCTTTCCTTCTAAGCTTCCTCCTGTAAAGTGTCCACTCCAGGTTATGGGTCAGACTTGCCAGTTACATGACCAATTGTTATTGCTACTGTCACATGTAATCAGTTAGAATAGCAGATACCAACCTGATACTGATTTACTCTTGTAAACTGTAGCTCATCTGTTCTAACTCCAGAGAGGTAGAAATAAGCATATTATACACAACAGTCGTGAGTTCTACAAATTGAAGTACGAGGACCAGTTGTGAAAATCTTACTAAACTTGAAAAGACAGCAAATTCCAAAAGAAAAAAATAGCGTATTACTAAAGATCAAAAAAAGAGCTTTCTAAACAGAAATGGGTCAAACACTCTATTGGTCCAGGAGATGGACAAAAATGGCTTAGAAACTCTTTCCTTTCTTAAAGGTTAGTGTAAGGAAAGGGGTAATGTAAAAAATACTGCATTCCTTGACATTTGTTACTATTCCTTAAGTGATTATTAAAGGAGATAATATGTACAATAAACACCATCCCCGCTTCGCACTTTAGTTTGGTTTTTCTCCAGTACCGGGAACCGAACTCACGACCTTGCACTTGCCAGGCAGGCACTTTTGCCGCTGAGCTAAATCCCCAGGCCCCCCTCCCCCGCTTCGCACTTTAGAAACCTGGAGAAAGATATCACATTTAATTAACAGCCCAATTATCAATGGACCATTTAGTTCTTTCACAATATGTTTAAATGAAAAAGGCAGAAGAGTAGTTTGTAAAATATGATAGAAATATAAATATTGGAAGGCAGAAATCAGCTAAAACTAACTCCCATATCTAATAAATGTCATCATTTCTACCACTTTATAAGAGAAATGTTTTAGTGAATCCAAATGATGAAATAAAAAGACTGAACACAGTCCAGTGGGATTATTATTATGGGAGAAGTTTCACAAATAAAAAGTTTTTGCTGAATCTTGTTTCCATGACTTCAGGCAGTTGCTTCAAGTATGTTGAATAGCTATGTATGCTTCTAACTTTCTAACTCTCCTCTTAAAATACAGAACAGCTGCTGGCCTGTTCTTACGTTATGTATAAGCAGCCCGCAAAGCTGTCCATTAATATGTTGAATTATTTTTAACACACTTATATTTCTATCCTGAGTCATCATCCCTGAAAGATGGCAAATTTCCATCTTCCCAGCTGGGGGGGAAGCACCTGCAAAATACAAACCTAAACTGAGACACATCTGGTACCAGCAAAAACAATCTTGTTTCATCTGGCCTACAGACTAAAATATCAAGATCGTTGAGCAGAAACAAGGCAAAAAGTTAACTGCTTCTTATATGTAGTCAACACAGATGTCTAGTTAAACTGTTTATATTGTAAGCATATGTGTGTGTTAACAGAGCACAGACCCCTTTAATAAGCCAGAGTTAGAATATAACTGCAAGGGAATTTCAAAGACCTGAAAGCAATAATTCAGCTCTTTTTAAAATCTTTCCGTAGAAACTAAATTAGTTTCTGTGGATCTACATTGTCTTTAAACAGATATATATATAATACTAATGATTTTGTTAAGAATCTCCAAATTTCTTATTTCCCTTTAAAACTGTTTCATGGTTATGTATTTTAATATTTAGATTATGTTTCTTTAAGTGGTAAATTACTTGTACATTGCTTAAACCAAATATTTTGGGTTGCACTGCCCCGAAAGCAGACCATGACACAGAACTGAGCTTAGGCAGTTCCAGAGGATATCTCAGGGAGCACACTCAGGAAGCAGGGAAAGTGACCTAGGAAAGGGAGAGATATCAAAAAAGGAGTGAATTAATGAGTGGTCACCTCTGTAGGCAATTGAACATCAGGTCCCTCAGGACCTCCAAGATCCTCTTAGAAACCCTGTGGAATCACCTCAGAATCAATTCACCAAAACCAAGTAGGCTGGGGCATTTATACACCAACTCCCATCCCTGTGGTAAGGTTGCCCCACACAGAGGCATACACAAACACAACAGCCTGCAGGTGGGCAAGCTCTCTAATGCTGGAGAAGCTCTCAGGCAGGGGGAAGAGAGACAAAGCCTTGACACAGGACACATCAGCAAACCAGAAATTCTACCACAGCTCCCAGGAAACCCACATGGAGGGAACACAAGGTGGGATATCAACATCTGTAGAATTGTCTCCCACAATTTAAGTTTGTGTTACTGGCTTCATAAGCTAGTATCCCATAAACTTCTTCCTTGATCTTTTACTATTTTATCCTTTTTCTCCTTCCTTTTCTCTATGCCTCCTCTTCTATTAAAATCTCTTCTAAGTACCATTCAATTAGCAAATCAGGCCCCACCATGTGTAAGACATATGGTACTAAATTAGAAATACATATGCAATATGATGCCATGTGGTATCTTATAGTTAACACCAGAAACCTGTCTGGTCTAGAGCACCTCGTACATCACATTAGAGTGCTATTTAAAGTGGGTTGCTCTTCAAAGGTAAATTTTCAGGAAAGCTAAAGAAGCTAACACTTCAAGGCCCCTCCCTCACACCAGCCTTGGTGGAGACCCTAGCTGTGTGCTCACATGTCGTATATTTCTGTAGAATT